TTGTCGGAACATTTGAATCATATTTGGCCGATAATGCACGGACTCGAAATATTGGGCACATGAGCACAAGTGTTGCGTCTAGGACATTGTAATGTCTTCGAAGAATAGATCGACCGAAGTACAGAAAAGTAGGTCCGTCTCAGATTTGGAACTCTTTTAGGCTCACACACGATGAACTGAGGAATTATAACCGGTCAGACAGTGTCCTTCAAACTATAGCACGAGGCTGTTGTACTTGCACTTATTCGCTTGTTTGCAATTATAGCACGAGGCTGTTGTACTTGCACTTACTTGCTTGTTTCCAATAAAGATGTTAAGTTCTTTGTCGGCGAGTCTTCTTCCGGCCAAAGGCACTGGAGCAAGGACAGCAGTACACGTACTTTCGGGGAGGCAACAAAGTTTGTCCCGTGACCTCCGAATAAGAGGACACAGTGAATGAACACATTTTAGATGAGTGCTTCGAAAGCAAGATGCACTAGCCAAGGGATGAAATTCTTCCAGAATGAATGCAATGACTGAGAATGAGATAATGCTCAAAAAGCGAGGTGAAAATATGCGCACAGAGAGACAGTCAACGGCATTCAGGTCATGTGGGCCGAATGTTCGTGAGGTCATATCTTGACTATCCTCCTGCTCAGCTGGGCCGACGGGCCTTGATTCACCAGAACTGGAGGACATCATAAACGGGAGATTCAATTGAGTCTCCCGTGAAAACCAAATTGATTTGCAAATGAGTGTATTTCTCAAAAAGATGTTAAGTTCTTTGTCGGCGAGTCTCCTTCCGGTGCAAAGCACTGGAGCGGTGACAGCAGTACACGTATTTTCGGAGAGGCAACAAAGGTTGTCCCGTGACCTCCGAATAAGGGGACACAGTGAATGCACACATTTTAGATGAGTGCGTCGAAAGCAAACGAAATTCTTGCAGAATGAATGCAATGACCGAGAATAAGATAATGCTCAAAAAGTGAGGTGAAAATAGGCTCACATAAAGACAATCAACCGCATTCAGGTCATGTGGGCCGAATGTTCTTGTGCACAGTCGAGGCACTGTCTAGCCATGTGTCCAGCGTGATTGTTTGACTGCGGGTATGTCACTGTATAGTCACGCCAGAAGACGTGCGTTTTAGGACATCTTCATTAGTGTGCGTGTTTATGATGTAAGCGGCAGCGAAGCATCAGTGTTGAATACTGAATTCTTACTGTCGATGATGATAATGATGAAACTTACTACTGAAATTCATACCGTTATAAGACAACGCTCAAAATTCCAAGCCAGATACAGTTCTTGAGATTCAAAGTATGACACTAGTGGCCTTATGAAGTGGGATCGTACCTTGACTATCCTCCTGCTCAGATGGGCCGACGGGCCTTGATTCATCCAACCGGAAGTCTATACGCAACCAACTTGACTAACAAGCTACCCAAGTGTTCCGCACACGGACTATTGATCCACTTTGTCGTGCAGCGGACGTGGCGAAAAAATGATACGTCAAGCTTTCGGTCTGATTAATTCAGGGTGATCGAAACACGAGTATTATATATAGTTTAGAGTGAACCTTGATGCAACGGTTACAGAGTTTGCATAAAATTAGCTTGAATACATTTCACGGTGAGGTAGTCAGTACGCGCTGGACCTTTTCAAAAGACTGCTTGCC